CAAATTTGTACTAATATCAGTGGTGTCAGAAGAATTAATTAATTTTTTTCCATTCCATTTCATTTCATTTCCATTCCATGATCAAGCTTTTTTTTAATTAAAAAGATTTTTTAAATTAAAAAGTGTTTTTTTTAATTTTTTACAAACTAGAAAGTGCAGCCAATGCATAATGGTTATAGAAACATCCATTTTTTTCACTGTGTGCTTTGAAGATTAATTTGGATTTACAATTCTAACCATGGCTTACATAATGGCTTTCTGAAGTACATTAGAGACCTTGGACCTATATCCACATCCACAACACTTTCCGTATTAATGAGATTGTATAACTAAGTTGATTTTTGGTTGGCTGTGTTAATTTAGAAGCCACGTACCAAATTCCTCCACTCATTCATGCATTTAGAGGTAATCCAGAGGCTATTAAAATATGCCAGTAGTGTTAGAATGACTTGGGTAAATGCAAGGGTGAAAAATCTCATGAATATCTTGAGACACTGTTGTCTATGGTACAAGAAAATTTTGATTTATTTTATGTATTTATTCCTATAATTTTTATTATTCTCAAAGTAAATACTGTTGTGCTTGCAAAAACCTATAAGGCCATACAAATATGATCTCCCTTCCCTATGATATCCCCACCCTTCAAATACCTACCTGTAGCCTCCTTGGTGTTCTTTAAACACACTTAACATGTGCCCACCTCTTGGCCTTTGTACTTGCTATTCCCTTACCTAGAACATTCTTTTCCCTTCTATATGCAAGCTTCTGCATGATCTCTTTCAGAGCGCTGTCCAAGAAACACTTCATCACTGAAGCCTTCACTAACTACCCCCCACATTTTAAAATACTACCACATCTCCTTCTCCCAATCCTTATTCCCATTTGCTTTAGTGCTTACCACCTGACACACTTAATATTTTACTTATTTATTTGTTTACTGTCTTTTTCCATTCACTAGAATATGAAGTCTAGGAGGGCATGCAGTTTTGTTTATTTTGTACTCTACTATTTTCTCTGCACCAAGAAAATTGCCTGATACTCAGTGGATACTAGAAAACTAATAAGTGGATGAATTAATGAATGAATGCAAAAGGATTCACTGAGCAATTACCATATATCAGCTACTGTGCATGACAGAAGACATTTAGTATGAGGAAAGAAGTAACCAGGCAATTGCTATACTGTTGGTAAATTCTGTGAAAGAAGTACTGTCTCTTAGGGGTGCTTTGGAAAACAAAAGAAGAGGACTTAAGCCCATAGGTGGGGGCGCTGAGCTCTGAATGATGGAATGGGTAGAGAAGAGAAGACCAACAGAAGAAAGCCCATTGTAGGAGCAGACAGCCAACTGCACAGAGGTGCAGAGATGTGAAAGCATGGCTCATGTGGTGAACCGCTCCTCTTAACAAAAGTGCTGACCTTTCTCAAAAGCTATGGAAAGACACTGAAGGGTTAGGTTATCAGCAGAGGAAAGGTAGGAACCCCTTAGCCTCCTAGAAAGCTCACTCAGGCAGCACTATGCAGAGAGGTGGAAGGAGACAAAAAGCTGATTGGCCCTCAGGTAGATGCCCATCAACTAGGTGGGAGAAAAGAGGGTTTGAACAAGGGCACAGGGAAAAAGCTGATGAAGAGGGCAGGATGGAGTGATTCCTGAGTAATTATCTGATGGGCTAGGGGCAGGAGGACTAAAAGATCGCTCCCAAACCTGAATAACACACTTTTTGCTGAAGGCAATCACCAAATGAGGACTATCATATTTCTTTGACTTACTTGTTCACCATAGTCTGCTTATTTTACATAATCTTTAAAAATGGTGAAGGTAAACAGTAAAGGATATCAAGTGTGCTATCTAATTTCTTTCTTGTTTATAAGTTTTGCATAGCTCTCCATGGTCTCTTCCAAAGGATCATAGAAACCTTGTTTAAAAACTTGTCTGTATCTAGATGAGTGATATCATTACTCTGGACTTAGAGTTTTTCAATGGTTCATTGGGTTATCTTTTGAATACATCACCTAGAACCTATACCTAAATGAGTATATTTTAAGGTTTAAATTATAGTTTAACAGAATTATAGTTTAATAGAATTCTTTTAAAAATCTTAAAACCCTAGAATAATTGACTATAATTTTAGGAATGATAAAAGCACTAGTTTGACAAGTAGTGAACTTATGACATGTTTCATCTGAGTCATTATTTATAATGACTTTTGAGCACACTGAAAATACAAATAAGTTTAAGAAGATTAGTTAACGAATGGCTCTATGGGATTTGCCCATTACCTTATTAATTTATATCTGTACTGAAAACCAGAAGACTATTCAGATGTGAATATCTTAATCAATTGTTAGCAACATACTCTAACTTCAAAATCAATTTTTTAGCAGTGAAGTTTTCATTGATAAAGTTAAATTTAATAACCACAATGTCACAGATATATAATGGGATTATTAATTAAGAAAACTCAAAGCACACCCATATAAGCAAAATCTTGATTAGCAAAATAACTCTTTATGGTGTCCACATGCCCACGCATGTGTGTGGGTCTATACTTACTCAAATGTGTGTCTGTGCCTTATACCCAGCTCCACTTTATTCTCACTCCCCTGCTAGTAACAGATGACACTCTCCTTGGCTTGCTACCATTTTTCTTGCAGTGAATTCAAAGGAGTATATGCACATTTTTTGTAGCTGAGAATATATCCTTGGCAACATAGTTATGAATAATCCACAAGACATGTATTCACAATTCAAAGTTAATGTTACATTTTTAAAACTGCTTTTATTTTTAGAGTTTAGCAAACATAGAAGTAATTTCCTAACTGTGAAGAAAAAGTTTTTATTTATTTTCTCTAGAGCTATCCTTTGATTTTCATGAAATATTGTGTTGAAATAGACAATTTAATTTTATGGATTTCACAGTTATGGGTAGTCTTTCTAAATCTTTGATTCACTGTGATCATGCAACAGAGACCAAATGGGAAAATACCAGATATGTTAGTTTCTTTAAAACACTTGATTTTGGATTTACTCTGATTTCCCTTCCTGGGTTGTCCATCAGTGAAGAAAAATGTTCAATTGTACTGAACAATATTTTTAAGTGGCAAAGTTAGGTTTATATGGGAAACAAACCTTTTTGAATTGAACATATACATTCTCAGTCTAAACATTGAATTAATGCACCTTTTGTTATATGATTTCCTTTCTAACATCAACATTTTAAGAAGTAAAATGCCCTAGAGATGCTTGGGAAAATGGACTCACTGACCGTGATAAAACCAAGTCTTCTTTACTGTCAGATGTCCGATCACTACAACTTCCAAATTCTGCCTTTACTTAGCATTAGCATTCACTTCCCAAACAATTTACCCAAGTGAGAGATGATTAAACCTGTTTATGTACTAAGGGGAAGGAACTAGTTTGAAGCAGCAGGCTCTGATGCAGATGCAGGGATAATTGATGGAGAAGGATCCCATAGGACAGAGGCAAGGATGGATTCCAGAGTCTACTGGATGAATCTGCCTGCAGAGGAGGAGTGTCTCTTCTCCCTGTGACATAGGAAGGAGGTCCACGTGGGTTTGAATTGATGAGAGACATGATGTTGAGGGAATTTACACCTGATAGCCTCTGTTTTCTCTGCAAAATCTAAAACAGGGAGAGTTTTAAATAGAATGAGATAGGGAGGGAGTATGTCTGACCGCACAGATATGCCGGATAACAAGCTCATTAAGAGGTTGGTTGGTTGAGTAAATAAAAAAGGAACATACAAAGGTGATATTGCACAGTGCACTCTAAATAACCTAAAGCTGATTTTATGAGGAAATTCTTAGTCTTCCTGTGAGGATTACGAAATAATTTATGAGGAACAGATTCGCTGAATGTTCCTAAACATTGTGTATTTTTCATAAAAAAATTATGCATGACTAATTCTCTCTCTAATGTGCACTCTACTGCTTTCTTTAATGTTAAAGAGTATGACCTAAGATGCTGATTATCTGAAATGTCATACATTGAAAATAGGCTAGCCATTTGTGAGGTGTAATGGAATACAGAGCTTGTTAACATGAAATGATAGAGTAAGCTAGCATTATAAAAAGTATAACTCTGTTAACATATACTAAAATTAAAAGTATTTTTGAAAGAATTGGAAAAATGCTTAATATTTTTTATTCAAAAACAGACATAAATAGAATTATAGATGTATGTCTTTGTGCTCTTTTCCACCATCTCAAAGTTGTGCCTTGTTCTACATCAAGCCAAAAGAATCCCAATGCTAACTTTGTGGTTGAAAGACTGCTAAATCTCAGAACTGCCATTATTTTCATTTTATATGTAAATATTCCCATTCAACTTCCTAAATATCATATTCTCTGCCCCTCCCCTAGCCCCCAATATTATAGGTTATGATATGATAGACAGCTGACTGCACATTTTGTTTCCTTTTCTGGTCCACCCTAGGTGCTGCAGTTGATCTCAGCATCCTCTCTTGTAAACAGGTTTTTGTGTAGGTCAATTGGGCACATTTCATAAGAGGAAGAATGGAGCAAAACCTGTTTCTCTGTGTTGCTATTCAATTATTTCCTTTGCAAATCTGCTTACCGAAGTTTTGCAGATGCAGAAGTCAAATAACATGCCTGTTTGCTGGGGAACCACCCTGAATTTTAACTGCTTCTAGCAGCTACATCTCTAGCCTTCTAAATGAGATTGATGTGATAGATTTGCAGGTATTTGAAGAAACAGATGCACTGGAACAGCAAAGATTCTTTTTTTAAAGGAAAAATAAGAATCTTACTGCATATGCTTAATGTTCATCAAAAGAGAACGAGAGAGAAGAAAAGACCTATTGTGTACTTCCAACCGATAATTTTCATTTTCCTTGATGTACAAAACATCAGCATATTTCTGCACAGCAAAGAGACCCTTGCAGACTCAGACAGTTTTAATTGGTCGTTTAAGTTTAAATGGTTACATTATTATGTTAATTGAATGGTTTTTCTTTTTTTAGGGTCCTCTGGGGCCTTCAGGACAAAAGGTAGAGTATAAACAGTACTGGGGAAGTAATTACACTCCCATTGCCTAATGGCTAGCATGAGAGGTGAATAGAATTAGCTACTGTAAGCCATGCTGAAGCAATCTGGTTTGTGCATTTTGCTTTCTAAAAATACAGTCATATAATGTGAGCCATTAGATTTCTAATCAACTCCCTTACAGAATATCTAGTATATCCGGAGTAAATTCTTTCTAAGCTGTCTGCCAAACTTGTAGGTTATTGAATTTTTAATTCAAATACTGGTAAAACATTGTGACAAAACTTAGAATTTCAAGGGTCATATGACATTGCAAATTGAATGCATGGTCCTGCTTAAATATATTATTACCAAATGACCTTGGAACTGACCAGAACAAAAGATGTACTTTTGGTTTGGTGATGGTGTTCTATTGGTACGCTATTGTTTTCCTTTGTTGAGGTGACTTCCTGATTGCCATTTCTCAGTCCTCAGAATTCACCATTACATTCTGGTGGAGAGGGTCTAGTGCTCCTAAAATTACATCAATTCTACAGTAGTAAATATATCAATAGCAGGTAGATGGCCCTTTGCCAACAAAATATCACTAAGTCTCCATTCCCTGTTACAACTCCCATCTCACAATGGGGGGAAAGGGATATTTAACTTGCAGAAAACTAAAGAAAACAATTGCATTACAACAGGTGGAAAAGTGATTATTCTTTATCTTTGGAATCCATCAAAGATAGAGACTTCTTATCCCCCAAGTGCTGGGCATGTGGCATCTGTTGAAACATAATCCTACAAACCAAGTAAAAGCCAATGAGTTGTGAGACAACTTGTGTATAAGAACACTTTGTCCTGCGCAATAATGTCTCTATTAAGCATGGTGTGAAATTGTAAAGCTACCCTAATCCACATGCAACCAGGGTAAAATTACTGCCTGAGGCTTCGGGAAGTCTTTTAATGACCCACTCAATATAATTACCAAAAGCACTAAGGAGCTTGCCATCTCAATTTGCTTTGTATATAATAACTATATATATATTTTTCATGACTGTATTTTTAATAGACTCTCTCTTAGAGCAGTTTCAGGTTTATATATACTCATTTAAAAAAAAAAACCTTTTTCCCATTACTATTAAAGAAATTTAATATTGTACATCAACTTAGAAAAATCTAGTGTGAGACAAAGAATGAACACATTTTATTTAAACATGGTTTCTCCAGAGCCTGAAAGGGGAAATGACATCACTATTTTAAAACATTTGTTGGGGCGCCTGGGTGGCTTAGTTGGTTAATTTTGGTTTTGCTCAGGTCACAGTCTCATGGTTTGTGGGATCAAGGCCCACATCAGGCCCTGCACTAACAGTACAGAACCTGCTTGAAGTTCTTTCTCACCCTCTCTGTCTGCCCCACCCTGTGCATGCACTTTCTCTTAAAATAAATAAACTTTAAGAATAAAGTAAAACATAAAAATAAAAACATTTGTTAGTGTTTCTATATCCAGGTAAATTCATAGATTTTTGTCAGGTGATATTAGCTTTCTTATCCTCAGTTCACCCCACCTATGTCCAACCATTCATAATCACCCATGCGCATGTGTACATGTGTCCCAGTGGGCATGCACATACACACAGGTAACAATATTTGATGTGCTGTTTCCTTATTCTTACTCACTGTTAATATTTGTAACCCCTTTTTTAGTCTTCGGAAGACATCTTCACAGTCACATGGCTTAAATGTACTCCCTGAAAGTCCAGGAGAAAATGCTTCAAATACAACCAACTTGAGTTTAGAGTGGGGATCTCCTATTTGACTAATTGTGGAACAAGTAGTTATTATTTTAATTACCTTTTGTTTTATGGTATTTAGACTCATGAAATTCAAGGGTTACTGCTACTGTAACCAGGTGGAATTAAGCCAATTTGTTTCTTAAAAGCACTCAAATTTAGAGCCAGATGACCTTCTGACCACTCTCAATATCAATTTGTGATGTGAATTTCTTTAAAATCATATTAGGATTAAGTGGATATTTGGAAACATGGTTAAATTTAACTGCATAGTTTCTGGGAATGCTTGATAATCTGCTTACATTACGTATTTGAATACAGTGGATAAGATCTGAAAAATTTAGCCTCCCACACATGTTTTAGCAAGGTAAAGTTATGGCTGACATAACTAATACAATATAAATTTAGACTTGAAATATTTTGTGATCACATCTACTTAATTTAATCATGTCTCTTCTTAGGGTTCTGTTGGAATGCCTGGAATTCCAGGGGTGAATGGTCAAAAGGTAAGTTCTATAGAATATTTTTTTTATCATTTTAAGGGGATTCAAGTCACAAAATTATTCTAGTTGGTAATGTTAGTAAAAAGTTTATATACTTATAAAACACTACATATGCTTTTAAATATGAGGACATTATGGTGCAAAAGATCAAACTAATTTAATTTCTAATGATACAGTAAATAGAAACTCTTAGAAAATTCTCCATTTTATTTTGATAAGTTTTGTAGGAGATACAGCTATGTCTCTCTTATAAATATACATGGAATAGGAAAAAAATTTGTGTTTAACATTAATTGTGATGAACAAAATACGCCCAGGTTATTCTTGTCATGACGAAAGTAACATGTATTATTTCTTTCATTAACAAAAGTTATTCTTACAGAGGGAGCCTATTGGAATATTCTGAATCTAGGAGTAAGCTCTTTTTTACTGTTAAGAAAAATTAGGATTTAAATAGACTTGCTAAGCTCTGGTACTACCCTTTTATTGTTCTGTTAATAATGATGCAAAGATAAAATAAGAAAGCCCTACAACTCTACATAGACTTAGCTGTGTGTGTGTGTGTGTGTGTGTGTGTGTGTGTGTGTGTGTGTGTATCTATTCCTACAACATACTTACTGGTTGGACAGAGCATCTAGCATCATCCCACAGGTGGGGCTGCTATTCCTTGCTTCCCAACAGTTCTGACTGGCTTTTCAACCTAGAATCTCTACAGAGACCAGGAAAGCCCGCCCGATTGGCAGCTAACAAAGCCAGTCTACCAGGAGCCAGGGAACTGAGCTAGGAACTTTCCTGTCTCCCTCAGAGTTTTTGGGCTGACCCTGTGAAATCCTATGACCCAGCAGCTCGTGTTCAACAGAGAATTTTAAATCCACACACTCTGGATTAAATTCTGAAATCATAATGAGCCCAAAGCTTACGGACAGAATAGTGCTCCTGTGACCTTTCTCATCTTGTCCATCTTTGTTTCTCTAATAAGACATTAACAATCACTATTAAAACCTACTGAGCTAGCAAAAGGCATGAATCTGAGACTTAGAGGCCACATGAATTTTGGCCAAGTCCTTGAATTCTCTGGCCTCAGTGTCCTCACCTATAAAAAGCGAGACAATAACAATTTCTACCTGTTAAGGACAATATGAGGATTAAATGGTAAGTATACATAAAGCCCAGTGTTAGGACAGTGTTTGATTTTATAAATAAACTTTTCCTTTATTTTATTTTAATGAAATTCCGATTGACTTATGTCTTAAAAGAGCTCTCTGTTTCCAGAATTACTCAATTCCCTGTGGAATTAATGTCCTCAACTAAGCCTTATGGTATCCCTTAGTCCACAAGCAAACACTATGCAGTCATCAGCAGTTAACTGTCCAGGTCACTGCTCTATTTTCCACTTAGTAAAATGCATATCTGTTTACTTCACAAATCCTGGTAAAGAGTGATGATTAACTTCCTATTTAGAACATGGCAGATCATGGAGGGAAACAAAAATCTGAGAGTATATTCATTCTAAGATGGATTTTTAAGTTACTTAAGATAATATTTACAGTGGACAAAATATGGATATAACAGAAATATTTTTAGCATTGTAAAAAACAAAGCTTGTACATCTAAGGTTAATGTTTTGCCTTTACTTCTTTGGTTTTTTTCAACTTTGGGACAGTCAGGAAAATTTATAGAAACCTTTAACCTGAAACAAAACAACTTTAAAACTGTCACATACATGTTTATGAAGACCATGTATTCTTTATTTTTGCAAAGGAAATATGCAATTTCCTTAGTATGAGAAAGGAATGTGACATTTTCTTGTCGTACTCACCAAGTTTAAATTATATTTCAAGGAGACAGACAGTTAATATTTGCAGTTTTATGTCTTGTTACACATCTTTATGGCATTTTAAAGTGTTTTCTATAAGGCCTAGGGAAGCTAAATAATTTCACACTTTTATGAAGGTATTGGCAAAATGTAACTTAAGATTGTTTTTTCTTATTACATAGAATTTAACCTAAAATGTTGTGAATGCAATTTCTGTTACCACTAGTAATTATCTACTATTTCCTATATCATCTTTAGGAAAATAAAGTGCAAAAACCATGAGTCTCCTTCATTGAAAAGCAGGTCATTGAGACAGTAAAAACAAAGATGGAAATAGAGTAATAATTCTGTAGTTAAGCATATGAAATGTGTTTTGGATCTCTATAATTTGTTTTTCTAAGAAAAGAACCTACAATAATATAATTTTTAAAACACCTAAATATTCTCAAACTGTCTTAAGAAAATATTTTTTTCTACATCACAATTTCACTTTTCCAAAGTACTGTTGTTGCTTAGAAAATAGTTTTCAGATGATTAATGAAGAATCTGATTTCTAAGCCATCAGAAATACAACACATAACCACTAGAAAATAGAAATATTCTTTTCCTTATAAAAAAAAAAGTAAATTGTTTCAAGAATATATTTTATTTGTTTTCCATCCACTCAGATTGACAAAATTAGTGATTGGCTTCGGCCAATAAACTTGGTAGTGGCGGTCTTTTTACGCTATTTTCCTTCAAATATTGGCACCATGACTGCTAATCGAAATATTTCTTATTTTTGTAATGTCTTCCAGTTACTCAGATTGTATTGGGAGAAAGGACTTACATAAGCATTAACACGGTATTAAGCCCCAGGCTAGTTGTTTCTGGCATCACAGTCCCCAAAGGGCTCCCAAGCATCCTTCTGTGAAAGATGTGATAGGACAAAGTGTGGACTCTGCAGTCAGAAGGAGAATGCTTCAGTTCCTCATCCTCATTTGGACAAGTTACACAATGTTTCTAAGGCTTAAATGTAAAATATAAATACAGACCTTGCAGTACTAACTAGGTAATGTCCCTAAAGTGAACGTAATGTTATCGATGCTCAATAAATGTTACCAAGTATCGATAGTAGTAGTAGTAGTAGTAGTAGTAGTAGTAATCGCACTGTAAGAATTTCAGCAGATGAGTCCTCCAGCAGGAGCAGAAGCCAGCTGACTCATGATAGGAAGAAGATGAATATGCAACTAGACACAGGAGGGTGAAATATGTCTCTGTACCGTGGCTTTCTTTCCACTCACCTGCCCAGGAGCACTGTCCCTGCATCAGGATGCTCTGTGCTCTTTCACCTCATGTGCAACCTTCGAAAGACCCTTTTCCTTTCTAGGCTCAAGGCAGTTTCCTTTGTAAAATGAGAGCGAGGGGCTGCATTAATTTATTTGTAAGTCTCTAAGAGATAAAGTCACCCGTGTCTCACTTCTAATTCAATCAGCTTTTAGCATTCTCTGTTCCCAATTCTGAAAGCTCTTTCCATAATTTAGATTTGTTGCCAGCAGTCAAAGCAGTTGGGGTACATTTAATACTAAGTCTTACCTAAAAATATGAGATGTCCTCTTCTTCTCCAGCTAATTGTATTGGATACAAAATTTTGTAATTCTCAAGAAAAGATCTTGTTGGTTCAAAGGTATAATTAACATTTTATTTGTGATCCAATATTCATTATCCCTCTCTCTCTGTCTCTGTCTCTCTCTGTCTTACATACACACCCACATGCATACATGATACATGTGTATCTGAATATTTGCCAATTAAACACTACTCTTCAGATATACTGGAGAAGTGGGAAATTTTAAAAATAATTTTGTGATAGAACTGTCTTTTAAACTGAAGACTCCTTTGACAAAATGAATTGCTGTCTACAATTTTTATATGTGTGTGTGTGAGTGTGCATGTGTGTGTGTGTGCCAGAATTTTTTAATCTCAGCTTTTATCAGGTGTTATTAGAACCCTATATTTTTTACTCTTTCCATATTTTCACATTAATTGGCACTCATAAAAACAAACCATCATAATGTCAATTTACTTGAAAAAACAATCAATGCCAAGCACTGTGCAAATGCCATCAAAGAGGAGATCTGGGGACAGAGACAGAGTACTTTAAAAGTCTAATTGGTGCAGTAAACAGCCTTGTCTGATTATTACTATGAAAATAATGATAAAGATTTTCAGGATTAAAACCAATGGTTTTGTCTAAGCAAGTTAGAATTTTTTTCAGGCCCCAGAATCCTAGGGATTGTTTCCAAAACAAAAGACAAATATCAGAAGATCTTGTTCATGTATTTTTCAGATATTTTCTAGAATTCATCATTTTTAAACTTCAAAACATAATATAAATAAAAAATGATGTTAGCCTGTCATCTATGAATTTATCTCAGATAGCTATGTGGTTCTTAAGGTTCTTAAGGAACATTAAATTTTAATTAGTTTATAGTTATGGTATTTAGAGTTCCTTTTCATCTCTTATCCATGGGTCTCTCAGTTCTTCACTGACATTAATCCTCACAGCAAACTTCTAATGGCATTTTTATTGTAAGTATATTTAGAGAGCAGATAAATGGGAGCTTTTAGACTTCCAAAGGTCAAGCCGTTTATTCAAGTCTATTCAGTGGACTATTCAATGAACTCAGTATTTTTTATTCTTGATTCACTTATTATAACAACTAACAACTCTTTTCTTTGGCTACCTTGGCTCTAACATTAAACAGTCTGAATTAAATTCCTGAAGGATATGAACATATTATAATTCTGTTTGTTGTCTGGTTGGTTAGCTTACAATTTTTCTATAGCAGAATTTATTCAGTGGTCCATTATCTAATATAGTTTTGACTTTCCGATTTTAGACTTTAAGAAAAGATATTCAGAGTAAATGAAATAATTGATTTCTGATTCCAGATTAATTAACAATTCAGGGAAAGTATCTTACAGCAATTCAACAATGTTGCAAGTTAAAGTTGAGATAAATTATTTTTATTAATTTTTCTATTTCCTACAGTTAGCAATTATGTACCTTAGAATTCTAAGAACACATGACTTTTTTCTCTAGTAATTATACTAATAAGATGCATCCTTTCTTCTTAAATAAATATCACTGTTTTCCTATTCCAGAACATCCCACGTAGTCAAATCACTTCATACCTGAATGTGA